GGTTCGGACGACCAACTCGGGGCCCATCAAGGCAGCAAATTCCGGAGTCGTATGTGCATCAGCAGCGAGGTTGGGAGCCCGCAAGACCAACATCGGCGGGAGAGAGGACCCCGACGCAACACGTGACCCTGACAACGCTGATCGGCCAACGGACGTGGGGGTTTTCCGAGGGGGTGAGATTGGTGGCGATCGATGACCGCTGGCTTTTGTGCGCAAGAAAGACAGCTTGCTCATAGCGGACCCCATCACATCGCCGGTTGGGCTGCGGATGTACTTGCGAGCCGGTGATCCACCACGAGTTCCACCAATGGGCGAGTCGGCAGGGGTCCCGCCGACTTTTGGGACATCCCAAACAACCTCGACCTCCGACTCGGATTCCGCCGGGAAGAGAGGGAACTCCTCTTCAATGTGCATATGAGATGGTAACTCTGCCTTAGACTCCTTTGAAGGGGCAGGGGTGACCACACCAGATGCACCGACCGCACGAGTCGACCCAGATCTGTTGGAAGCTGGAGCCGACCGACGAGAGATGTGCGGGCTTGTCTGACCGATCAAACTGTCAAGAGTAGGCACCCGACGTTTGATCCACTTGAACTCTTCGGTCTGAGGAGGATGATCGAGATCAATTGCCGGGTTCTTAGCATTCTGGATCGCCCGTGCCCAAGCCGTAAGTTGGTTGTTGTATATTTGCATCCCCTCCTCGTCATTATCGGGGTTTCCAATCCAGAGCTGCTCTTCATTGAGGCCAAACTTCCCCTTGATGTGACCCATCAACTGCGCGAGCACAGGGGTCAATGGATTAGATGAAGTGTCGGCCTTTGGCTGAAGACAATGACATGCAAGTATTGAGATCAGCTTAGCTCAACACCTTGCCTGCCTGATGAGTATAGTAGGCCATGCTTACGTTCAAAATTAGACGAGCCTTTTGCAGTTCCAGCGCCTTGCGCTCTTCTTCCTTCCCAAACTTCAAGGTCAGACTGTCTTGAGTATTCTTTGCCTGCCAATGAGTTTTCAGAAGGAGAAAATCAGCCATGTAAAAACACAAATAATCAGGCATCAATCGCTTACCAGGGCCAACTGTTTAGCCTTTGCCTGGGGGTCGTCCATCACCAGCTTAACTGTGACCGCTGCCTTTGGGTTATCGTGAATGGTGGCCGCAAACTCGTATAAGTCCTGATCACCAGAGGCATAGTAGAACTTCTTCGGGCCAAAGACCCGACTGCCTGAAAGAATTAGCTGCCATTTGATTGAGTTGTTCTCCAACTCTTGCGCTAACATTTTCGCAAATAATGGACATGGGCTACTGAGGAGGTAGACGATCTGTCGCTTGAATTCTTCCCAGGTGTGGGAACCAACATCGGTACGCCAGGACGCCAAGCTGTTACTGGTGGGAACGACTTTATCCCATTGCTTCTTCAAAGGACCCGATGGAGCCCGTTGACCACCGATGTTTTGAGCAATCTCCGCCTCGGCCGATTCAATGAACAGGATATAGTCCACAACAACAAGGCGGCCCTCTGATGCAATCGGATGAGTCATTTGAGATTCGGGCTGAGAATGTTGCTGTTCGGCTGACGAGAGAAATCCGGCCTGATCACCGCCGAGTTGGGTTTGTTGTGTATTGGTCCAATGGTGATACCCACTCTGGGCTGCACCACCTTGACTGTTGGAGTCGGAAAACGGCTGGCGTATAGGGTGCTCC